GGCAGGGGCTGCAGCTGCAGCTCCTGCTCGTGCTCTCGCCAATAATGCCACAGGGAGGCAGGGGCTGCAGCTGCAGCTCCTGCTCGAGCTGGCGTGGGAACAGGCCAGAAATAGCGTGTTCCGAAACCCAGTTTTCGTGCCTGAATCTTAGGGCAGGTCGAAACAAATGAGGGCCTCAAAACAGTCCAGGGCCTAAGAATAGCCCTCCGTTTCAGGCTGGATAAACTCTGGGTCGGAAAGACCCAGAAATAGGCTGAAATGGAGTAGGGCCTGCAGGCCCTCGTTTTTTAGTTTTCAGGCTGAAACAACCGGGGCCTGTAGATCCTAAGTTTTAGGCTTTTAGGCTGAATGTCCGGGACGGGTCCTACAGGGCCCGTGTGGCCACGCAGTATGCCACAGTGTGGGTGTGTGCATGCGTGTGCATGTGTGTTTAAAGACGGGCGTACGGTAGGGGTCGTGAGTGTGTGTTGTCAAGTTCCCTATACACCACGTTGCTGCGCTGCCAAAGATAGAGCATTCGCTGCGGCCCTATACACCACGTCGCTGTGCCGCCAAAGACAGGCCCTATACACCACGTTGCTGTGCCGCCAAAGACAGGCCCTATACACCACGTTGCTGTGCCGCCAAAGACACGGCCGATCGCCGCCCGCTTTTCATCGGTGCAACGATCCAGGCTGCCTGTGGTCCTACTGGCCCGATGGCTAGGACTGTCCTGCAATCTTAAGACTAATGATCCAGGCTGTTCGACAGGCCCAATGCTCCGGACTTTCACGCGATCTTAAGATCGCACGAAAATCCGGACCTTTGGGTCGGTGGGACCACGGGTGGCCCGGATCGGCCAATTCTCACATTAGGAATTTCTATAAATGTAGGGATGGTGTCACAGACAACACTACTTGAAGGTAGACCAGAATAAGAGGACTATGTAGACGGAGAGCAATGAGTCTCACATTACCATTTCGTTGGAGAGCAACCAGACAGACGCACAACAGCATTTGAAAACGTTCTTCCTCCTCGGCCACAGATCAGAAAGCAGGGTTGGCTTGGTGGAAAGTAAGAAGACCTAAAAAACACTCGGCCGTACACTGAGAGAAGTCAGTCAGCTACAACAGACACCCGCATCATTGAAGATAAAAATATGATGCAAAACCCACAACGAACAGCTGACTTCACATGGGAATGTGAATGACACGGGATAAAGAGAGATTATGTAGTTATCTGTGATGGAATTTCTCACTCTAGGGAGAAGTAGTTATTAACTATTTTTCTTTTCTTGGATGAGGACACGAAACCAAGGAGACGAGGAGGGCAATCCAATTCCACGTTCAGATAGATCTTAGGGGTATACCACACGGCACAAAAAAAAAAAAAAAAAAAAAGAACAGGTGTACTACATTGCAATGTACATGAACAGCAGTGAACCGGTATTCACCTTAGCAGTAGCAGATGCAGATCCCAGGGCTTGATCCCTAGACCTTACCACACCCGTGTACAGTATCGAGGTGACCCCCGTGCGTTTGAACTTGTGACTTGTGTTTTGATTTTTAACTGTTGTCTGTCGTAGGTCTGTGTAGCTGTAGGGGTTCGATCTGTAGGTCTGTCGAGTAGGGGTTACAGCTGTGTAGAGGTCGTAGCTGCTACAGTCCTGAAAGGTCAAGGTCGTAGCTGCTACAGTTCCGAAAGGCCAAGTCCACAGACTTCCGGAAGGTCCGGAAGTGGCTTTTCGAATGTTGCTCACAGCAGACCAGAGGCAAGTGGGCAAGTGGTGAGTCCGACCTTGCTTAGTCAGCGGTACCCAGTCCCAGTCTCACTTAGACCAGTCAGCAAGTACCATGTGGGACTGTGTGCACTATGGGCCCAGTGGAAAAAGGGGCAGACCAGCGACCAACAGAAGTATAAATCAAGAGGCAGCGTCCAGCCATTCATTCATTACTGCGTGAGCCATGCGGAAGCGCTGCCCAGGCGTCTTGTACGAGGTGGTCTGCAGATGCCCGAGGTTGAAGTGGGCCGTGTAGAAGATAGTGCACCATAATGTTAGCAGTAGCCGGCGGCCATAGCTGCCATAGCTAGCGTTGGGGAGTAGTGTGTGTATGTGGGCTACAGAGTGGAGTGTGTGAGGGATATTCAGGGTGATCCAGAGTTGAGTGTGTGCGAACAGTGGTGGTGGACACAGTGTCAGCAGTGAGCAGTTGGGAGCTCAAGGCGCCATAGCCTGTTTGAAGCAAGTTTGCATCTGAATTGTATTCTTGGCCGTAATATCTCTGAGCTTTGTGTGGGCGCCTGGCGCCAGTTGTTTTCCAATCTGTTTGCATGCATGCGAGTTGAAGAAGACAGCGAGTCTGATTGCAGCAGCAGCTCTAATGGGTGCTGCAGCATGAAAGCAAGCTTTATACATCCAAACAAAGCACACTCACTGTGGACGTTGGAAGATAGTAAGTTACTCACTTTATGACAGTTAAACCACAGGTACTTCCAAAACACGCAGCGCATCAGCACCGCGACCTGCTGGGATGAACGGGCGTGGGGCACTGGAAAAAATTCATTCACTGAGGGTCACTTCAGAATTCCTTACGAACTCGGAAATAAAAAATAAAAACGAAAACTAAAGCCAAAATATTACTTAAATATATCCCTTGGAAGTCAAAATCCCATTCAACCCTCTTCCAAACCTATGTATACCCTAAGGCGATTTACCGGGCGCCCAGGTGTCAAATTCTCGACTGAAATGGCACCCGGGCGCCTGACCGGTCAGCACCCCTGGCCGGGCCCCTGGGCAGGTTTTGCGCAAGGCCCGAAATTTTTTTTTTTCGGGGTCTGCGGGGTGCTCCGGGGTACGTAGAGGCCGGTACCACCGGCCAAAAAACAATTTCGGCCTTCCGGGGCCCCGAATAGTGAGTGACCGCGTCGCTGAGATCTGGCCGTCGATCTCAAAGATCGACGGCTGGATTTTGCGGATTTCAAATCAGTTTGCCCGCGCGTTTTCGCGCCAGCACGATGAGTTTGCCGACGCAAAAACGCGCACGCAAACGAGTTTGTCTGTGGAGTCGGCCATCGAAGCCCGCGCGACAATCACGAAGCCCCGAAGACACCCTGCCGTTGCCCCCGGAGCCCGCCGCCATCGCCCGCCGGCCAGTCGTTGGCCATCGACGGTGTGTGTGTGTGTGTGTGTGTGTGTGTGTGTGTGTGAGAGAGAGAGAGAGAGAGCTGCACACCGCCTCGGACATCGCCCAACCACCCGCCATCTTCTTCTTCTTCTTCTTTTTCTTCTTTTTCTTCTTCCTCTTCCTCTTCTTCTTCCTCTTTCCTCTCGTCCAGCTGCCCATCGCCCCGGACATCGCCCCGCCACCCGCCATCTTCTTCTTCTTCTTCCTCTTCGTCTTCGCCCATCCTCCGCCCCCTGACTTCGCCGTGACAGCGCCCCTGTCGTTCGTTACATGGCGCGAAAAAGGACGAGTAAAAAAAAAAACATTCATCCTCCGATCCTCCTCTTTCCCCCCTCCGCTCGTCTTCTTCTTCTTCTTCTTCTTCTTCTCTCCTCCTCCACTCCTCTTCTTCTTCTCCCCCTCATCCCCCTATCGTTTTCTTCATCTTCCTCCACCTTATTTCACCGTCTTCTTCCTCCCCTCCTCCCCCCGTCGTTTTTCTCGCCGGCAAATCTTCTTCTTCTTCTTCTTCTTCTTTTTCTTCTCTCCTCCTCCTGCTCCCGTCTTTTTCGTCGTCGTTCTATAGGTAGCGTAAGGTAGCGCGAAATAGGACAAGAAAAAAAAAGAAAGTCATCCAAGTCATCCTCGGATCCTCCTCTTCCCCCTCCTCTGCTCCTCCTGCTCCCGTCTTTTTCGTCGTCGTCCCATCGGTAGGCTAAGGTAGCGCGCAATAGGACAAGAAAAAAAAAAAAAAACGTCATCCAGTCTGATCCAGACTCGTCCTCCGATCCTCCTCTTTCCCCTCCTCTTCTCTTCTTCTTCTTCTTCTTCTTCTTCTTCTTCTTCTTCTTCTCCTCCACTCCTCTTCTTCTTCACCCCCTCATCCCCCTATCGTTTCATTCATCTTCCTCCACCTTATTTCATCGCCTTCTTCCTCCCCTCCTCTCCCTGTCGTTTTTCTTCCCCCTCCCCCCCCTGAAACCCCCCGGGCTGGAAGTCATCAGAAGAAAAAAAGACCCCGGATTTGGGGTGCACAGACTGAGCGCGGAACAACCCCGCGAAAAAAAAAAAAAAAAAAAATTCTGGGCACTTTTTTTTGACGACCGGGATACCCGGGCATGGGACCGGTCCAGTCGTGATGACCGGGTGACCGGCCGGTCCAGACTGGCCGGTCATGAGAATCTTCCTAGTGTATACCCCCTTCCCCACCCTTTAAAACCCATCTATACTACCTCTTCAACACACTATCCTCATGGAACATTCAAATATAACGCCCTATTCGGATATCACGCCCGTGCTATTCGAAGGGGCGTTCTATTTGAAAAAAAGTGAGTAAAAACGAAAATCGCATCTTTTTAGGGTAAGTTAAATAACGCCCGGGCGTTATTGTCGGGTGAAGACGGTAGTGGTTTAACTATGCAACTCTTGTTCCGTCTCTGCCACTGTACCCGATTGTTCAGGATCAACATGGGAAACCTATTTGTGTGCACAAGGCCTTGCGAAACTGCAGCAATAGGATACTCCATATAATAGTGTACCTTAGTGGTGGGTTTGTACCTTCACACAATCAGCAATGACATGTGCATCTTCTCCCGGGGTGAACATATTCCGCCCTGTCATCATTCCAAACAGCAGAAGACAAGCCGACGTAAGTTTGAATATGAAACACAGGGTGACAGCACAGAGCATTGCCCCCTTCACACAATCAGCAATGACATGTGCATCTTCCCCTGGGGTGACCATATTCTACCCTGTCATCATCCCAAACAGCAGAAGCTAAGCCGACGCAAGTTTGGAAATGCACACACGCAGGGTGACAACGCAGAGCACCTTTCATATTGAAAAACACACGCATACCATCAACCCAGAAGCATGCCATATACCCAATCCATCAATCACATGCATAATAAGTTCGTCTTGCTCCATTTAATCAGGACGGCACAGTACTATACCATCAAGGACAGAGCAACAAGCACAATCCACACATACAAGATGGCATGTCGCAGCTGCCCTTGCCAACAAAAAGAAATGTGGAGCATAGATCCTGGCAAAGGGTCAGCTGAATATTTATTCAACCAACCACTGTCAGCGGATGCAGCTTACCTTGCATCCATCTGTTCGTTTTTTTAGTAGAATAGAGAGAGAGAGAGAGAGAGAGAGAGAGAGAGAGAGAGAGAGAGAGACAGAGAGAGAGAGAGAGGGAAGCCTCATGTGGCAGGATAGAGAGACGAACGAACTGGGGATGGGGGAACGCGGGTGGACATGGACACATTTGCTCGTGGTTGTTGCTGCTGCCATCAGTGAAAGGAACATTGGGAGAGCGGCAAGCCAACAAAAAAGAGAACAAAGTTCAGATCCGCCAGCAACCCTCGCCGTTTGCGCGATTGAAGGCTGAGATCGCGGGCTGATCACCAAATATCCAGATTGGCCCATGATGTAGGCCATTCATGCACACTAACGGTTGGAGATGGCAGGCCACAACCTTAATTTTGGTGATATGCCTATTATGCCTTTGATCTGGGCCATTCACGTGCACCATAGGGGAATGACGCAGACCGGGCCCTTATGAAGAGTAAAGGCTCCTAACTTCCTGTAGTACTGTAAATGACGAAGGTCATGATGATTCTGCTCACTCCATCTACTCTTGCCAAAAAAACAGCCCAAAATCTTTTCAGTAACGTGGGGGTGCAATTTACAGACCTCGGGTGTTGCTGAAACACCGGGTTGCAATGACGGCATATGGGCATATATATCCATGTGGGTGTTATAGGGATGATCAGTCTCATCCATGCTCCTTGCTACCAATGATGATTGAGCCTCACTGATCGACACCTTGAGCACAAACACACATTAAGAGATTACACGAAATCCACACTGGAGTCCAGAGATGTAAAGTCCAGATATGCACAGCTTAGAAATTCCAACAAATTATCACATTAAACAGTTTCAGAGATCCAGTCATCAAGCGCTCAACAGCGCAGAATACAACAACCCAATACCAGCATCCTCATCAAAGGTAGGTGACTCTCTCTCTCTCTCTCTCTCTCTCTCTCTCTCTCTCTCTCTCTCTCTCTCTCTCTCTCTCTCTCTCTCTCTCTCTCTCCTCGAGAATCTTGACTCTGAATAAATCCGCTGCTACTGAGCTCTATCCCTACTAACTTATGCGGCTATGGCCGCCTTCCCTCTCGGTGCAGCCCTGCCTAGCAGGGCTCTCGTGTGCATGCTACTCGCTGATAGCGCACAAGTGCTTCAGCAGCACTAATGAGCAATCTGTCCAAAATATGGCTGGCCAGTCCTTATATTGACCTGGATTGAGCTTCAACTCGTCCCGGCCTCTGCTTCTTGTGGCTTGAGTTGGTACTGGTAGCACATCCCCACCACCTGCTTGCTTCAGAATGTCCAGGTCTGGTACATTTCCCGAATTTTCATTGGTGTGGTGCTGCTTGGGCCAGAGAGTCACGACTTTTCACCTGTGGAAGATGACGTTTGACTGTGGGTTGTGACTCTTGCCTCTGGAACACAACTTTTGGCTGGGGAAGTGTCCTTTGCCTGTGGAATATGACTTTTCCATATGACTCTTCAATATGAGACGTGATTTTTGCTTATAGAACGCAACTTTTGCCTCTGGGATGTGACCGTTTACCAGGTGCCTGTTGGACTTGACTCCTAAGGTACCCGACTGTGACTTTTCTGAAACTGACCGACTTGGCCTCCCTTGGCCTAGGACCTTGACCCTGAAATTTGAATTGGGGCTCTGCATCGTGGAATGCCTTTCAATGAAGGCTAGAGGCATGGTAAAACCAAAGCATCAAATGGAGTCCTCTGTACCTTGTTCATATTCCTTCACCCTCCTCTCTACGTCTTCGACATCAGCCGACTGCCGAAGGATCCCTTCGACCATAAGCCCTGCCAGCACAAATAGGAACCCCAATACATCTCAGCATTAAATAGCTCATGTTCACAGTACTTTCGACTGCAGACAGACTCAGAATTAGAATCGCAACTAGCATTAGAAGCGGTACTAGTGCATTTGAACACTTCATAGTCCAATTCACAACATCAAAATAAGCTTAGATGGATGGTTAACACTATCCCTGAACTGTTTGGAGAGGCTCATTCGTGATTCTCCAGATGTGGAACCACCAGTATTGACCCCAATCCTTCAAATTTCTCGTGCTTATGCATGGTGCAAAACGAAAAGCTTGGCCTATTGGATCCGAGGGAGGTACCAAGGAGCACAAAAAACTCTGAACGCCACAAATTTCGCTCACACATGTCATGCCCGTTTCTAACCTGGGATTACAGTTTTTTTTTTCATGGACCACCCACTCGTTTACAAAAAGTTTTAATTTCACAAATACTTCAATTTTTTTTTTTAATAAAAATTCCTCCTTTTTTTGGGACCATTTCTCGGTCTATGCATGTCATCCTTGCTCAGGGGACATGCTAATCTTCTCTGTATCGTTCCAATTTTGGCGGATGTCCCAAATGAAACTTTGTTAAGAAGTCACTGGTTATTCAAAATCATGGCTATTCTGTTGAGTTTTCGTGTTTTACAATGCCTATATCATTTTCAATATTCAGCAGTAAATCGTTGGACAGTGGTAGTTTTTAGTAACTTTAACCCGTATATATGGTGTATTCCTTCTTGTTTGACTCTTGCATTGAGATTTTCAGACTCTCGAAAACCTAGTTTCTTCTTTTTTACCGCCTCGCCTTTCGGCAGGCAACCACAAAAACTATCCATCTCCAGGGACCCCAGGACTCTAAAAATCAAGATAAAGAAATTTTCGAGTCATTTCAATAGGCTCAGAAACGACATGCTTCTCCGAGTCAGGGCTGACTATACCAGCAAGTTTCGGTTCTCCGTTTCTGCTAATGGCAAAATCTGAAAATCAGGGATGTAGTGCAGGTACCACCATATCGAGGGAGAATTCAAAATATGTTGATTGGAAAACTAAAATTCCTGCAACAGAAGGATCGTTTCAGTCAGGGTAGGCCATGCGTGGTAGTCTTTTAGGTTCGACAAATTAGGCTTTGTGGTACTGGTGGAACGGAGGAAGTTGTGAGTGAGGCGTTGACACAAATTCCTTCGCAGGCAAAAGGCATGGTGCAGTTGAGCGAATTCATTGCTGTATGCCTCAAATGAAATAGAAGCTTGGGAGAATATGATGATAAATGAGGTTGTGTCAAGTTCTATATGAGCTTTAAACTGTCTCAACTCCATGTGTGAATGCATTGTCTGACAGATATCTTGGAGACCTAAACTGTACCAAAATGCATGACGTGAGGACTGTGTGATGAGACACTATCGTCTGCACCCAAATAGAGTGCCGAGCCTGCCTGGGGGCATGCGGATTATTCTTTTTGTTCAGTGCTACGCCTGGTGCCACCCCGAGGCTCCGAACAATTTTTTTGTTCAGTTGCAGGACATAAAACGAGAGTCCCCTGTACAGGAAGAGAAATGTTCTGTTCGGGGAAGGTGCTTCTTCCCCGTACACAAAGAGGGATATTATACTCGAAAGCAAATTGACAGGAAGCAACAACTCACAGAAAGAGGGGATTCCTCTAGCAGGCAGAGAGAGAAATTGCAAGTTCTAGCTGTCTTTCCTTCTTGCTTTATCTTCTTCTTCTATTCTTGCCCCATCCAGGTGTGTTTCCTTCCTACCGGAGTGTGAGTCGCTGCGCACATTGTCGTCAAGGTAGGTTATGCATGTCTTCAGGGTGTCCCGTACGCGTGTTCCCGCCGTAGTCTTCCTCTGTTTCCTTCCTTACAACATCCCGGTTGGCCGGATCCAACCGGGCCAGTTGGACCCCCGGTGGTCCAACCGGAATTCCGGTTGGGCCCAAAAGTGGGTCAATTTTTTTTATTTTATTTTTTTGAAAACATGGTTGGACTGCGCTCGCCGTGATCTCCTCGAATCCGCAAAGAAATTGTGAACAGAGAGGTTCCATCTGGGGGGTGGGGGTATTGCAGGGGTTGAGGGTCGGGGGTTGGGGGGGTTATGGTGAGGGTGTTGGTGGAGGGGTTTCAGCAACCACAGGCTTCAGCAGACATTGACAACGTGCCTGGCTTTCTGCAAACGTTAACCTCCCACCCAAAAACTTTGAAAAGGGGGCTGGAGGTGTTCGTAGCAGGGTAGGGACGGTACTTCCCACCCAAAAACTTTGAAAAGGGGGGTGGGGGAAATAGTGTTAGTCCTGGTCCTGACTGCTGGTCACACTGAGGTAGGATAGTAGGTATAGGGGTTGCGCTGGGAGCATTAACGTGGGGAAGGGTGAGGAAGGTGGCCTATCTTGTCAGCACACCACCACCGGCTGTCGCTGCCGGCGATCACTGGGGGGATGTCCTTGGCCTACACCCTGGGCATGCGCTATGGTCAACCGGGGGTGAACCGGCCTGGTCGACCGGCCAGTAGGACCGGTCCGGTTCTGGTTGGGGGAGGGCTCCCCGGTCCTACCGGGTTTGCAGCCTTGTTTTGTAGTAATTTGTACTGATCAAAAGGTCCTCACCTGCACTCTAAAGACTAGAGCACACAAGACACAACGATCAGAGGGCAAATGCCCCTCATCTCAACGCAATCTCGTTTGCTTGTCTCCACTCATCATAATCCAACTTGCCTGAACGACATGAGTCAGCATTCTCAAAGGCATGCAAAACTGGTGCAAGCAATAGCCTATATACTCCAGCTGAAAGCTCACCGTGAGTTTCAACGAAGCACAGTGCCTTCTCGAGGAAGCTCGGAGTCCCATCAAGTTCTTCCAGGGCTAGAAGAACTGGACGGCCAACAACCATTGACTTCAGCGGTCTCTTGTCCTTGCCATCTGTAAAGTCACAGTGCACAGAAAAGCAGCACCAACAGCAAAGAGGCATTAGGAACGTTGCTCCACAAAGAGGCATTAGGGACTTAACGCCAAGGGTGAGTTTCCGCAACAGAGGCTAAGGATGTCGGTTCTGTCCTCGTCAAGGGGTATGAGCTGAACAACATGCACCCTGAGCAACACCTGAACAGGAACCCCATGACTCAAATAGGCACATTCAGCTAATACCCCTGGATAGCCTGGATATAGGCTATATCCAGGCTATTCACAAAATGACTGGCTTTGCTCCTGTGGTAATCATGCTACCCTTTATGCACAGCTGGCACACACAGCAAGCACTTCTTTGTCCATTGACCAGGCGTGTCGGGTGGGTGAACCTCTGGCTGAGACCAAAAGCTCTTCACACTGTTCACGGCACACACGGGGGAACAGGTGAAAGGTTCAACAAGCGTGACATATAACTTCTGCACAAGAGATGCGCAGCCAGTATTTCCCAATTGAGGTGGCTACCATGCCCGATAGACTAATGCGCGTTTGATTCCACTCCCCAATTCCTATCTCGATTAGTCATACCTCCATCTCTTCCGATCTCTAGCCCATCAATGTTCTCAGTGGGTATAAAGCCCCCACTATCGGCCACCATCGAAACCTCTGGGGCCAGAATCAGTGCCTTCTCAAGGGACTGCCGCCACTCCTCCAGATCCTCTGAACTCTCTGCCTGTGCACCACATCAGAGAAGAGCATGGACAAACCACATGCAAAGAGCATAGATGGACCACAACACAAAGCATGGAGAAGCACAAAAAAACACGGAATCGCCCAGAGACAACACCAACAGATAGACCAAGTTATGGAATAAAAACACCTTGCAGGCACCAAGGTTGAAAATATGAAACACACCCCAGAACATAGCGAAGAGAAAACATAAACGGCATGCTGCCCATGCCCATGGCACAAACAGACCGATCAAAACAAACAGAAAGCAGAGGGCAGAAACCCACAGAGGCAGGAAAACAGTGAGGAGAAAACCACAAGAAACCCAAGAACCCTATGTCAGCTCAAGGATGTAGGTGAAGATGCATACAAGCACAGACATACAGACATTCTGCAAATAAAAGAAATTGAAGAAAAACACAAGAGGACAGCACAAAAACGCAGAGCTGCGTAGAGTAGACTGGATAGACATAGGCTCAGGGCACCTAGCATTCATCAGGTTGTGGTCTCTTGGCATTGGATCTGGTTATTCCTGGCATAGATAGGTAGGTAGTGGGAGGTATACCGAGTGCAGAATATAGCTTAGTTTAGGAAAGAAACAATAACAGCGATGCTGCAAGAATAAGTTTCCAAGCTGCCCCAGCACCTCACATGTGCAGACTTTGATTCCCATTTATGGCCAGGCAGCCTCATTCAGGCACTCGCATGCTAGCGGCAGCGTTGCTGGAGCAAAGGCTCACGGCTGCTGGCTGGCGCTGAGAGGCAAGGTGCAGCACGTGCGGTCGTGCAGGGGAGGAGGGTGCTGCTGAGGGCAGCACCATAGCCCAGCCACCATAGCTGGTGGGCTTGGACTACAGTGAAGCGCAGGGGTGGTCTTCGGGTGAAAGAGAGGACAGGTGTGGGTGTAGACAGGGGATAGGTGAAGGATGATGATGATGATGATGATGATGATGATGTGAGGGCACTTACCTGGTATTGGCGATGGTCTGCATGGGCGACATCTTCCAGTACTTCGGGCTGCCGCTGATGTCAACAGTTGCATTGTCTTTTTGTAGTCTGTAGTAGCTGTGTAGGAGTAGGCTGGGCGCTGAGCGCCAAGTGTGAGTGTGAAGGAACTGGACTCTTGTGTTGGGAGGAGAGAGTATGCTCTCCATGAACATAGGTTTTCAGTGCTATGAACCTCCATTGGTGTATTATTGGTGCAATGCTGCTCTTTGGACACGATATGACTATTTGGCTTTCAATGTGCTGGTGTGATCTGGAATTGTCATCTCACTGTTACTTATTTTCCTTGCATTTACTTCACAAGTCTTAATTTGCATTTCTGCTTTGCAAGGGCCGTGCTCATTTTATTTCTGCTTCTATCACCAGCTGATGCACAGTTGTGTTCATTTGCCCACCTTGTCCGTTTGTTTCAGGATGATTTCCTGAACGCATTGTAAATTATGTCCCCTATCTCAACTCTCATGAATAGATACAGGACAGAATTCGCATTCAGGAAATCATCCTGTAACAAACGGACAAGGTGAGCGAATGAACACAACTGTGCATCAGCTACTGAAATATTCCATCAACCCAAACCAGCTTGTTTAGGAGGATGCACATTTGTGTTATGAAGCTTTTGTCTTTGCCCGGAAATAACGCCTGGGCGATATATACTTTAACTTACGCTCCAAAAATGAGATTTTTGTCTTTACTCACTATTTTTCAATATAACACCCAGACGTTATATTTGAATAGAACGCCCACATGTTATATTTGAATGCGGCGTGGGCAAAGTGCCTTGTAGAGCAAGGAGGAAGGGGGTCATACACGGGTTTAAAAGGGGTTTCTGGTTCAAAATTGCAAGGAATTCTGAAGTGACCTTCAGCCAAAAGTTGGCTGCATTGCACCTCTAGACGCCGTTTTTCACAGAATCTTTTTTTTTTGTTTTTCAGGGTGGGCCCACCAAAGTTGCTACCAATTACTTTAACCAGCAGCCGGCCATTGCGGTCAGGTAGGCCCGCGCCGCTAATTTTCCTAGAAGCCAACGGGCATTTTTCTACGAGGCCGGGGCCGTGTACTGGCAATTTAATATTGCGTCTGGGGGTTATAAAAGAATATTTGTATGCAACACCTGGGTGTTAATTTCTGTTGAAAACGGTAGTGCCTCTGATAATGTAGTGCATTCAGCCGTTGGACGAGCACCAAGTCAATTGTATCTTGGATGGAAATCAAGGATGGAATGACTTGCTGATTTCGACTGCCGAGACTAACCGCGAGGCTGTACAGTACAGCAGTAGGTTAGATTTGTAACTTTGTTTGGCTGAGGGCTAACCGAGAGACCTACCAGTTAGGGAAATTCGTGAGGGACATATCTGCAAATATGGGAAAATAGGCCCAGCGGTACTTCGAATTTCCTACAGCTACCCTCACTGTGTGTAGCAGGCCCGGGCTACCCCTAGGACAGACAGGCCCTAAGGGTCTAAGCTGATAGACGGTCCTATAGCCTATAGCCGGGTCCGGTAGAGGCCGAGAGGCCGAAACAGAAACAGTACCGGTCGGTCAGTCAGTCCGGTCTAGGTCTAGGCTAGAGTGGTAGAAGTCTATTAATAGTTTAGGGGAATCGGTTTGGGACTTTTGGCAATTCATTTTCGCGATGCAGCATTTGGAGCCAGGAGAGTTTTGGAGCGGCAATTGTCTGCAGGTGGTACCCTGAGACCCTCACCGGGGGCAGCAGCCATAGCCAGCCTGTTGAGGGCTTGCCATAGCTGGGGAATCCCCTGCGCATCAACCCCTGTGGGTTTCTGCGATTGGCTGTGCTGTGTGAACACTCCTCACCGAGTCTATGTGGGTGGCGGCAGCCATAGCTGCCGGTTCTTCGTCAGAGTTGTTCAGCGGCACTGAAGACTTCATCACAGGATCTGTTCTTCATCTGGGTGGTTGGCGCTGGCCTCTGGGAGGCCATTCTGATGTGGCGCTACTAACTGGGTGTAGGGTAGAGAGTGGAGTGTGAGGTTCTGAGAGTGGCGATACACTGGAACAAACTCCGTAACGATTTCTGGTTAATTGGCTCATCATCAGTGTGTATTCCAATTGTTATCCTCGCAGGTTCTTCTTGTGATCAGTTGTAGGGAGTTTGTCAGAGAGCGACAAACACTGAGTGTCTTCTCCCCATCTGTGCATGGTTGAACTTCCGCTACATACTCTGATCTGTGTGCAGTGTGGACTCTGTCTCCTCTCCCCCTTCTCTTATGCATGTATGGGCGTGTATGAGACTCTGTGTGTGAGTGGCGGTAAGAATCGTCAGACAACCAAGTTCATAACAAGGAGGCCACTCAGCCTCTAGTTTCCCGACAAGACTCCAGATCCACCATCTGGAACTCCCACAATTCCCACAGAAGACAGCAGGACATTTGCAGAAATCACAGCAGGATCAGATGTAACAGGAAAGCAAGCACAGATCCACGTTGGCGTGAAATCAGACTGCAACTCGAACTTGCTTGCAACATGCATACATGAGCGAACTGGTGGAAAACCAACTTCTTCAACTCAGAATCAACAACGAACTTGCACTGGCGCCTTGCCCCCACACAGAAAACTCAGAGATATGTCTTCCACTCAAAACTGGGTTCAAACCAACTGTACAACTTGCGGCTATGGCTGCCGAACACTGTCTCCACCACCAGCCTCACTGTCCCTCATGCATTCACATATGAGGATCCACCATGAATGTCCACTCTTTACACACACACTCTCTACATCAAGTTGATGTCAACAGCTTGGCGGCTATGGCCGATGTTGTCTTCCTCCTCCTAGCTATGTCCACTTTTTACACACACTCTCTACATCAAATGATGTCAACAGCTTGGCGGCTATGGCCGCTGTTGTCTTCCTCCTCCTAGCTATGGCCGTCGCCGTCTTCCTCACTGCACACTTCAACTCCGGGCACCTGCACACCTCCACGCACAAGTCACCAACACAGCACGTCCGCATGGCTCACGGGCGAATGAATCAATGCCTGGACGCTGCCTCTTTATTTATACCGTCTTGCAGGTGGCCTAGCCGGGCCCCAAGCCGCGTGGGCCTGGGCCCCAAACCACGTGAGGGCCTGGGCTCCCCAAACCGCGTGAGGCCTGGAAGTCTCCAGACGCGTGGGCCTGCTGGCCCAAAATGCATGGGACTTACCACGGACCCCCACTTGCCGGGTACTCGCTGACTTGGACAGGGACAGAGGCCTACGACCTTCTAGACCTTACCACTTCCTACGGACTGGGCTGACCCTCAGACCTACAAAGAGACAGGCAGAGGTTTCCAGAAGGGCCCTAACTAAGCCTATCGATAACATACTAACCTGCTAATACAGAGATCTGCAGATCAAGTCCAACTAACTAACCTACTGCCTAACCTACAACTCAGCACAGGTCACGGGTTCAAATCTCACTCAGAACAGAGGGTCAATGTACAGGGTTTAGGGGCAGGTTTGGGGATCGAATCCTAATGTCTGCAGATGTTGGGTCAACTGGGTGAACAGGCGACCTAGGCTGGGGCGAAGCAACGGAATTCAGCTAGGAAGAGAACACCTCTAGGAGGCTACAGCAGCTGTATTATGCACAGTATGCAATGATCCTGACGGCTCCTCACCTTCGTACTTACATTTCCTTACTAATGGCCAGTTTACCTCACGAGAGCAATGATATCACTCTCCATGGATAGACATATCGATGTGACTAAGTCAACAGAACGTGAGGCCAAGAGGGCCTCTCAGCAGACAGCAAAGGGCTTGTTTGCCCTGGGCTTAGGCCGGAAGGGGTACAGCCCCGTCAGGTCCAGGGTTCAGGTTACCGCTGTCTGGGAACCAGTGGACAATGGCATGGTCGAGAAGACTCCAGACCGCGGTACATAAAAGCCAGACACTCATGGTCAAACTTTGTTTCAACCAAGTGCTTTCTCTTCGACCCTTCATGATAGAGCAGGACCTACCTGTATTTTGTACTTGACTGACTCTTGAGAGCCTCCAGGCAC